CTCATCTATCTCTTGACATTCATCACTTTATTTTACTTACCCTCTTTTCTATTTCTTTATTATCATTTATTTCTCATCTTTATATTCATTTATTCTGCATTTATACTGAATTAAGTATTTAATTCTTTATTGTGTCTTCATTGTTTTATACATAATTATCATTCACTTATTATTTTATATTTTTTGTTGTATTGTTTTCTATTCGCATTTTATCTAAAACAACAATATCTTTATTGCACTTCTTGTTTCTGTTGTTCTTTATCATTCATCATTTTGTTTTTTTTTTTAATTATACTCCAATTTTGAATTATATTCTACAATTTGTAAATATTCAAATAAACGCCTTATATTTGTTGATTCTCTTCTTTTATTTAATTGGTTGTTGTGTTACTATCTTCATCATATAACTCGTGTTACTTCTTTTCTCCTTTACATAAAATTCTGTATTTTATGTTTTTATTCTTCCTATCATTTATTATTTAATATATCACTTTATCTGATACATCCTATCCACACCATCAAATTTATATTGTTTGATATTTTAATGGAAAGGGAATATTAGTGATAAGTAATATGATTGAAATGGTTTAATGTTTAATGCATTTTTATGTGTTGTAATATTCATTTATACATTTTTTGGGTTTGTTGTGTTTATCTATTTGTATTTGAGAGTTGTAGATGAATTACTATGGCAACGAAAAAAAGCAAATAATTGAAAAAGAAGAGAATGAATGATATAAAAGAATAAAAAGAAAGTAAAAAGTAGAAGAAGATGAAGAAAGAATAAAAGTAGAAAGAAGAGAATATAAAAAGAAAGAAGATAAAGTGTAATAAAACAAAAGAGATGATAAAAGAAGAAAAGAAAGAAAAAAATAAAGGATGCAAATTTTATTTCAACAAATAAAAAAAGCGCAAAATTTAATGATGCAAAATTTAATGATGCAAAATATTTAGCAACATATTTTATTGATGCAAAATATTTTGAAATAAAAATAAATCATCATTTGATATTATTATTATATTTGATAATAAATTATATTATATATTAAATACATCATATTTCTTTATTATTTATCTTTCTTTTTATTATTTCATATATTAAATTATTATTCATTCATTTATTATTTATATTTCATTTATTAAATAAAATGAAAATGAAAATGTAAAATATCAATTAAATATTCATGAATAATAATTTATTAATATTTAATAATTGAAATAACAAATAATAATGTAACAATAATGATATATTCAATATATTCTTTATTTGATTTGTTCAATATTAGATTATTCTATTTCATTATCATTTCATTGTCTTCATTATTTTATTTATTATTTCATTATTTCATATTCATTTATTATTTTTTAAAATCAAATAAACAATAATATTGATATTCATTCATCATATTCATTTAATATAATAAATATACACAACATTTCAGAATAAATAATGAATATATAACATTGAAAATATTGATTATATTTAATATTTTGTTCAACATAAATTCAATAAAACATATAATTTGATAATACACAAATGAAATATTAAAGAAATATACAATACTCAAGAACTAATAAAAAAGAAATAAAAAGAATGAATAAATGAATATAAAATTGATAAATAATAGAAGAAAGAAATATAAACAACAACGAAAAACAAATAATATAAAAAGAATATAAATATATAAAAGAATAAAAAGAAAGTAAATAAAGAAGATAAAAGTAATAAATCACAAAGATGTAATAAAAGAAGAAAAGAAGAAATAAATTATGTATTTTTATTGTAAAAATTAGAAATATGAAATAAAAGTGTCTAATTTAATGATGTAAAATGATTAATATTATTTTATTATTGAAAAATATTTTACTCTTTTTTATGTTTATTATTTATATGTATAACTTCATCATGATGTTTATTATATAATCAATCATATGTGTTATGTTATTATAACATATAATAAGTGATAAAATATAAATGAAAATGATATGAATATATGATATAGAATATAAAACAAAAGAATAATAAGAATAAATGATAAATAAAACGAGAAATGATAATAAATGATATAATAATAAATAAAAAGTATAAAAGATAAAATCAATATTAATATAAATCAAAAGAGAATAAATATAAAATGAAAATAGATATAAATGATAATAATATAAAAGATGAATAAGATGAATAAACAAATAATAAAATACATTTAAATATAAAAGAATAACAAGAAGAAAATCTAAATAATATAAACATAAATAATAAAATAAGAAAAATATAATAATATATAGATAATAAGAAGAATACAATGATATAAATAATATAAACAGAGAAATAAATATAAAAATACGATAGATAAATAACATATAAAGAAAAGAATAAAAAGAATAAAAATAATTAAATATGAATAATCAAATAATCTCCTTCATTAATATTTCATACAGAATACAAATGATTATAAAATATAAACATAAATATTTATATATTCTGTATTTATCATACTTTTTATTTTTTTATTTTTATTTTATGAGTAAAATATAATAAATGGAAAATTCTAATTATGCAAATTTTTTTGCATCTTTTTTCTTTTTTGTAAATTATTTAGACGCATTTTTTCTTTGCTTATTTTCGTACCCCATTTAAATAATATCAAAACATAAATATTAAAAATATATAAACATATTAATTACATATTTTAATGAATTTGATTCAATTGATTTTAGTAATCCTCATAAATATAATTTACAAAAGAAATTAAGAAATAATAGAGAAATAATACATGTTATATTAACAATAAATTGATTAATTCACAAAGAGTTAGTAAGGAGATTAAAAACACTGAAATCTTTAAATATAAATGGTTTATAACCCATTGTGATAGATGACG